GCCTGAAAATAAAGAAAAGATTGAGCATATCTAGTAAGAAGGTGCCAACTAACGGTAAGACTTCTTAGTTATTATACTATTGAAGTTAACGGATGGAGATTGATTTTTTAGAGGGGCAATAGAGTCGAGTGTCGTTTGCAGTGAGCCTGTATCATATTCTAGTTTTTGAAGTAGGAAACTGCTTTTACATCAGCAGCTAAATCTATCCAGGTAAGTTGTAGAAATATTTGAGTATATAGTGAGCAGAGGTACAGCCAGAAGTCATCAGGAAGGAAATCTTGTCTACAAACTCAAGAGAAAAAAGTCTCATTTGAGTCCCTGCACATTTAGGAATCTGGGGAAATGAGAAAGCAGCCAAATTAAAAGACAAAAAAGAATTTATGTAACCTATGTTAAGAAGTAGGAGGAGCAAACGGAAACACCAAATAGGCTAATAATAAGCAGCCTGAGAATTGTGCATAGCAATCTTAACAGTACACTTTTCATTAACTCAATCAGTGGAAACTATTGATGCAAGGAATCTTGTATGTATAAATAATGGTAGCGGAACAAGATTTGATATAAATAGAAATAAGATGTCATGTATTGATTCAAAATTGGTTTCTGCAAATATGGCTAGTCTGTGTGAATGGAAAATATGCAATGATAATATAGGTAGTGATCATTTTCCAATTATATGTACTTTAAATACTGATAAAGTTGTGTAGCCTGGTTGTTAAAGAAAGAAATAATGCTCTTAGAAACCTCAGAAATAATTTGAATATGGACAATTTGATAGAATATAAAAGAGCCATTTAACGCAAAATAATAAAAACTGCTTAAAGGAATACCTGGAGACAGTTTTGTTCTTCTATTGGAAGAGAGAGAGATGATGGTCAAGTATGGAATATGATTTTAAAAATGAATGGCAGAAGAATAACCAATAAGATACCAGTACAACCTTCTACTTAGAGTATTTGCTAGTGTTCATAGTGGAAATCATCATACAGATTTCCATAAACAAAGGAAAGATAAGTTTTTAAAAGATAATGAAATGGTGCTTGGGAAAAAGGTAGAAATCAGTTCAGCTATGGATATGGAATTTACCATGAGGGAATTGAGAAGTAGAAGGCAGTCGGTATTCTCCAGGACCAGATCAGTTATGTTATGCCATGTTACCAGAAGATGTAATACAAGTAGTTTTGAAACTTTTCAATAAAATATGGACAGCAGGAAGACTTCCTATAAAATGGAAGATGGCATTCATTTTACCATTTGTTAAACCAGGAAAAGATGCAGCCAATTCTATTAATTATAGACCTATAGCACTAACATCTTATTTGTGTAAAATGAATGGAAAAAAATATTGTTCATAGGTTATCATATTTCTTAGAGAAAAGAAGGCTGTTTAATGAATATCAGAATAGATTCATCTAGAGAAACTTGAAAGTTAAAACCACACCCATTAACACATTGCTTGTGGAATCCAGTGAACTTCCATTACAGTTAAGGAGATCTACATTATCACTTACATACTGGACCGAATTCAGGGAAGAGGAACTGGAAATATAGCATCAACGGTTCTACAGAACTGTTGGGAATATATAACTTTTTCAGGTCGAGGTTTTGAATGGGAAATAAATGAGAAAGTAAATCAGCGTAAACTAGAAACTATTCAACACAGTCCAGCAGTTATCATTAGTACAATCTCACCATGGTTATTTCCACAACTAAAAGTTAACCTACAAATATTAGAAAAGAGAAGAGATTGGTCAGCCAGGAACTTTGATATTGGGAGATTGACTCAAGAATATTTGTCCAAAAATTATTATAACTATTTAAATATACTTACAGATGGGTCGATAAGACCATTGCTAAATAAATTAGTAATAGGTTATCAAAGTAGTAATATGTTCAGATTCCGCATCTGTACTTCAAAGTATACAGTCAGGACAAACAGTTAAAAATGATTTAATATTGGAAATTTACATGATTTTATAGAACCACTAGGTATCGATGTTCATTTTTGTTGGAATAGAGGAAAACGAGGCTGCTGATAAACTAGCTAAAAGTTCATTAAACAAAAACCATAGTGATATTTTAGAAATATGTTTTGGAAGGTCAGAAACCAAATCAGTAATCAGCCGGGAATAGTGGAAACATAGCAAAACATATGGAATAATAACATCATGGGTAGGGACTGGACAATTATACAATTCAAAAATCAGTTTGAAAAGAAGAAAAGAAGATATAATTCTAACAAGGTTAAGATTAGGTCATACAAGGTTAATATACATAATGAAAAAGATAGATTCTATTGTAGAAGGTTTAAGATTGTAGAAGGTTTAAAGCCAGAAAAAAAAAAGAATGCACGTCTACAAATGACCTGTGGAGGGTAGCAATACGCATTTGCAACGTTTAGTCTGCTGAAAAAAACAGAAGAAGAAGAGGCGGAAGTTGTAGGAGTCAGTCAGCGTGTTGCAGCGGGGAAGATTCAGGTCAGAGCCGTGGGATAGAACCTGTAGACACTGAAGGTTTGAACCTTTCCCCACCAGGCTTTGCTCACGTCACTGCCGTGTGTTAGTATTTCTGAATTTGAATTCTGTATTTTATAAGTTTGAGTACTGTTAATCTTTAGGTAAATGTTTAACCCAGGAAGCTAACAGTTAGCTTCAGTCCAGTCAGCCTTTTATAACACAGCTGTAACCTAACGTCAGCCTGAAACGTGGCGGCTAGCTGTAATTATTAGAGCTGGATCTGTGGACTGTTCAAATGATTAATCTAGTACTTCATCATCAGGATTGTGTGGTAAAGTGGTAAACTCAGCGCCATTGCAAAGAGGTTGATAAAGTGAGTTTACCTGGGTTCATCCCACCCACTACGCCTGTTCATCCTCAGTATGTAATAGAATACACAGTATCAGACAGACATGGCAGCTTGGTGTAGCTGCCCACTGAGCGAGAACAAATGAATTGGACTTTTGGCAGAATTTTATTTTACACATAATCAAAACTAACTAGTTTATTTGAAATGCACTAGAGCTGGATGCCAATTTAATATCTCTGAGCACTTTTGTTTTGTAATATATTAAGTTTTGTCTGATGTAATGCATAAAGTGGATTGCTTTCATCATTAGTTTGATTTTAAATTATATATATTTGTCATATGATTATATGAAAGTATGAACATGTATAATTGTCTTGAAGTTTAAAGAGCCAGAAGATAACTGGTCACATGCCCCCAAAATGATTCATTGTACAATGATGTAAAGCAGACAAAAGGCAGCAAATATTCTCGTAGAAGAGGTTTGGTGTGTTTTATTTGACGAATCCTTCACCAGTTAATGTTGATTAGCTCAATTAATGTTATTAACTAATTCAAATGAAGCCCTTTAATCTGATTCAATTACGCTATAACATGCTTTATCATTGTCTATGCATTTCTACTGCAGTATTTCATCATGGGATATTATGGTCCTGATTGGGAGTTAAACGGTGGTTTTCATCATAACAAAACTGTGTCAAAATCGCTGCCTCACTTATACAGCTAAAGAGAAAAAACAAACAAACATCTGCAGAGCAAAACATGATTAAACATTTTTTTTTAAACCAAAACCAGATTGATTGTATATTATCTGCCCCTACTGCATCCCTACGAAAACATCATCATGGGCCTAAGAACAGTCCACATGAACTTGGGGTGAGGAATAAGGATAAGTTGTGCTGAATGGTGTTTTTTTTTTTTTTT